TAGACCAAGCAATGTCCAAAAACACTAATAAATTTCTAGGAGCCTGTCACTCTGACAAATTAGCCATCAATAGACAGATAGAAACAATATGTACCCACTTTGCAAAAAAAAAACAACACCTCCTCACCAGCAATCCACACTGAGATATGCATAGATTAACACTATGATTAACATCAGACCAACAATCAAGAAGTAAACAATGCCCTAATCAAGGAACTGCCAAAGAAGCTAACAACAAAGACCATTTTTTTAAACTGCTAAAGCAAGCCTTAGGGCAGTGATGGCGAACCTTTTATATCTTTTAGAGTGTCCAAAAAGCGGCCTGCCCCTTCTCCCGCCCGCCCGCGCGCCTCCCCGTCCTGCTCTGCCATCCCGCAGGGCCACCTACCGCCTCCATGGCCCGTCGCAGATCTCCCAGGCGGCACTGCAGTGCCATAGCAGCCACACCTTCCGCCTGCGCCCCACAGCATCATCTGCACGCGTCAGGGTGCAAGGGCGGAGTCTTGTCCCCACTGCCTGGCTGCCATGTCCTTGGCTGGGCTGCTGCGCACGGGCCATGCCCAGGGGTGATTCTCCTCCGGGGGTCTGCTGGTGAAGAGGGGGCTGCAGGGGGAGGTGGGCCTGAGGCGATGGCACGCGTGCCCATAGAGAGGGCTCAGAGTGCAACCTCTGTCTCACGTGCCATAGGTTCGTCACCACTGCCTTAGGGTAAATTTCAGCAAGGCCCAAACAGTACTGGCCAGGCTTCCTCACTTTCATGATACACCGAAGAGTGAATTAAACCATCTGTCTTACTGTTGATGTCTTCTTCTTCGTCTACAGGTCATTTTGGATTCGTGTCTTTGAACGTCGACGTTACTTCAGTTGGAACTGGGGTTTTACTCCTAAGAATGCACAATACACAGTGGTTACTATTACCCTAGACACAGGTGTTACCCTTGCTTACCTAGGCATAACTCCACCTCCCTCCATATCCTAAAGCAGGGGTCTCCAAACCTGGTCCTTTTATGACTTGTGGACCAACTCCCAGCACGCTGGCTGAGGAATTCTGGGAGTTGAAGTCCACAAGTCATAAAAGGGCCAGGTTTGGAGACCCCTGTCCTAAAGCTTTAAAGAATACAAGACTCAACTAAACATACCTTTCAGCATCGAGGGCGCCATCACAGCCGAAGACTAAGAGGGCTTGCGCTGGAGACATTTTCTTGCTCTCTTTTTCTTCTTTTTTCTTCTTTCTCCTTTGTTTCTTCCTCAGTCGTGCCCAGCAACGTTGTCTCTTTCGAAGAATATTCGGCAGGAGAGTGCACTTCCTCTGCTCAGTCTGCAAAGCTAGAAAACTATAACATCTTTTACAGCTCAATGGCCGCACCTAACATTAAAAAGGGCCATTGAAGTTTTCCTTTCGGTTCTATGAACCATTGCTAGGGCTAAATTTTCAGACCAAAAATCAAGAAGTAAACAATACCCTAATCAAGGAGCTGCCAAAGAAGCTAACAACAAATAGCACAACAAAGAACCTCCAAGACCATTTTCACCAACACTGAGCCACTAGAACCTAAACTGGGAATAAACTGCACTCCCTTCAAGCCCTGATGATGTTCCCTAGTTTGGTAAAGAAATGTCTACAACAGGGGTGTCAAACTGCCGGCCCACGGGCCAGACGTGTTATGTGGAAGCCACGCCCACCCCATTGCCGGCAAGGGCAAAACCAGCCCGATACGTTGCACAAATGACGTCACGTGACGTCGCGAGTTTGGACATGCCTGGTCTACAACAAAACCGCCAAGCTCAGAGAGCAGCAAGGACGCCTCATTTCAATCGTGAGCCACAAATATTCTCCTTTATTGGTATTCCTCATATTAAATTGCATCATCAGGTTTACTTTGGGTTCTAAGAAGTCTGGCTGGTACTAACAGTAAATAATAATAAGAAACCCTTTATTATCAAAGGATAACATGTATACAGTGAAATTGGCTGAGCCAACTCAGGCACTGGAGGAGGCTAGTTAGCTGTCTTGTTCTAAGATCCACAGCCAATAGCTAAATTGGTCTTGAGTCAATTTTTTTTGCTACTTTTTAGACATGTTTGTCAAACTTGTGACTGTTCTTTTTAGCCTTGATACTTTGTAATGTTTTTTTTAAACTGCTAAAGCAAGCCTTAAGGTAAACTTTAGCAGGGCCCAAAGATTTTTGCAGTAGTTAACATGTTGCAAACAGTACTTGCCAGGCTTCCACACTTTCATGATATACTGGGGAGTGAAATAAACCATCTGTCTTACTGTTGAGGTCTTCTTCTTCGTCTACATGGATTCATGCCTTTGAAATAATAAAAAAAAATCAACATCACTAAATGACCAGTGGATGTTCAGAGGCTAGAAAAGCTATCAAAGGGGCTTTTGTGTGTTTTATTCTACGTGTGAAAGAAGGCGAGATACAATGAACTGTAACATTGTGTTCTCTCGACCAAGCAACTAGCGGTTTTCTACATGTTTTGTTTCTTTTTAGAGCAGAGGTGTCAAACTTGCCACGTCACGTGACGTCGCAACGTGGTTTGTTTTTTTTTGGCATGGGCGGAGCTGGGTGGGCGTGGCCTCCGTCTGACGCAACCGTCTTGTGGGCCGGCAGTCGAGGCTCAAATCCTTAAAGCCCGGGTGAAACTGCCCGCCCACAAGCCGGTTGCGTCATGCGGAGGCCACGCCCACCCAGCTCCACCCATGGCCAAAAAAAAAAAAAAAGTCGCGGCTCCCGTTTTAAGGATTCGAGCCTCGAGCGCCGTTTCCTCACGTGCCGAAAGTTGCGTGTCTTCGAGAAAGAAAGGGCAACCCCAGAGGACTGGAGCAATTTGGCCTTGAAGCTCAATTTTGCCTTCAGCCCTTCTCGCTGCACCTGGCTCAAAAGTTGCCTCGTCTTTATTCCCGAGAGTTTATTCAGCTCCTGGCCCCGAAGTCGTTTTCCTCCGCTTTCCCCTTTTCTTCCTTGCGGGGCTTTTAGACGGGGCTGAGATTCCCTCTGACTTGATCCTGAAGCTCATTTTAACTTATGCGCCTTGGCTGGTTTGCTCCTTTTTAAAGGGGCATGGCTGAAATTATTATTATTATTATTATTATTATTATTATTATTATTATTATTATTATTATTATATAGCCAAGACTCGGGTTCACAGAGTAAAGCTTTGGCGGAGCCTGAGGTTGGACTAGATGACCTCCAAGGTCCCTTCCAACTTTATCATCAATATTAATAATAATATTAATATTATTTTAAATATTATTAAATAAATTAATATTAAGTATTTAAATAATAACTATTAAACATTTAAATAATATTAATATTATTAATATTGATGATAAAGTTGGAAGGGACCTTGGAGGTCATCTAGTCCAACCTCAGGCTCCGCCAAAGTTTTTACTCTGCGAACCCGCGTCTGGGCTAAAATGACCTCAGGCGCTTTCTGAAGAATTTATGAATAAATTAATGTATTATTAATTTATTTTACTTATGAAGAATGTAAGAATTGGCTTTATTCCCGAGAGCCGGGTCAGCTCCCGAGTCCATTTTACCTTTCAAACGAATTTTAATTCTTTATCCACCTGTGGTGGTTGGAAGCTAAATTTTAACTCTTATGCAGCTGTGATGGTTTGCTCCTTTGTAATGGCTGAAATTACCTCAGGCTCCGCCAACGTTTTGCTCGGAGAAGCCGAGTCTTGGCTAAAAGTCGCCAAGAATTTCCCTTTAGAACGAATTTTAATTCTTATCCACCTGTCGGTAGTTGGGAGCTAATTTTATCTCTTCTTCAGCTGCGGTGGCTTCTCCTCTTTCAAGGGCCGTGGCTGAAATTACCTCAGGCGCCAAGGATTGGCTTTATTCCCGAGAGCCAGGTCAGCTCTCGAGGCAATTTTACCTTTCAAACGAATTTTAGTTCTTATCCACCTGGGGTACTTCGGTCCTTCATTTAAAAGGACACGGCTGAAATTACCCCGGGTTTCGCCAAAACTTTGCTCGAAGAACTCGAATCTGGGCTGAAATGACCCCGGACGCCAAGAATTCGCTTTACTCCCGAGAGCCAGGTCAGCTCTCGAGGCAATTTTACCCTTAAAACTAATTTTGAAATTACCCCGGACGCCAAGGATTGGCTTTATTCCCGAGAGCCAGGTCAGCCCCCGAGTCCATTTTACCTTGAAAACGAATTTTAGTTCTTATCCACCTGGGGTAGTTCGGTCCTTAATTTAAAAGGACACGGCTGAAATTACCCCGGGGTCCGCCAAAACTTTGCTCGAGCTGAAATGACCCCGGACGCCAAGAATTCGCTTTACTCCCGAGAGCCAGGTCAGCTCTCGAGGCAATTTTACCCTTAAAACTCATTTTAATTCTTATTCACCTGGACTGGAATGACGTTTATTCCCTAAAGGGAAAGACCGTCTTTAGGGACCGGGGGTCTCGGCGTTCTTTTAAATGACACACCGTTGATGTTCCCTCAGCCCCCGCTGGCCCTTTTACTCCGAAGCATACACGCCGCGGTTCAAATTCCCACAGGCGTCCCCCTTCCTCCGCGGGAACGGGCTATTCCTCAGCTAAAGAACTCCCGCTCCCCCCCCCCGGATCTTACAAGGTGGAGAAGCCTCAGAATTACCTCAAAAGCTCAAAAGGCCCTGCCCGGCCTCGAGCTCGAGGACTTGGGCCGCGGGAGCGCCGGAGAGAGCGACGTTTGTGCCCCCCCGGCGCCCCGCAGCATCGTCTCTGCTGAGGAGAAAGAGACGCGGTAGCGGCGTCTGCAGCCTCCGCCGCGCGCTCGCTTCTCTTTTCTGCGCTCAGCCTGAGGGAGCCCGCCGACTTTTTAAATGCCCCCGCCTCTCGGAGAGCAGGGAGGCCTCCCAGCCAATCCGAGCGACGGGGTTTCGGAGCAGCCAATCGCGGCCGACGTGGCCGCGCGAGAAGAAACTCGCCAGGAGGGCCTTGGGTGGCGCTGGGCGGGGCAGGGGAGCGGGCTCGCGCTCGCGCGCACGCGCACGCGCACACAGTGAGCGCGCGCGACGCTGTTTTACAACCACCACCACCCCGCCAACCTCGCAATCCGGGCCCGGCCGCGGTTGCCATGGAAACGGCGGGAAGCAACGCACCTCATCCCGGCCAGGTGAGCCGAAGCTGCGCAGGTGAGGGGAGATTGGGCGGTTGCGACGTTGTGTGTCAGTGTGTGTGTGTGTGAGTGTGTAATGCCTTCTCCTCGAGGCTTCGCCCCATCTGGGGACTCTTCGCCCCGCCCGTTGGGGAAGGGGGGACCTTTGAACTACAAATCCCATCCGAGGCAACCGGCGCATCTCCCCTGGTGCCTGAGAGGCAGCCGCCCCCCTCCCCGCAAAAGGCCCGGTTTTTTTAAAAAAAAAATCTGAAAATTTAATACAAAAAATAATAAAAGTAATAAAATTATGACTATATGTAGAGTATTGGAGATGCGTTGGACTACAGTTCCCATTAGCCACTCTGTTGCAAGAGGGGGCAATCCCCATCAGCCCTCCCCCCCCAAGGCTGGCTAATGGGAACTGTAGTCCAAAGCATGTAACCAGAAGCTTTGGACTACAGTTCCCATTAGCCAGTGTGTTGCAAGAGAAGTAATCCCCTCAGCCCCCCCCCACTGCCTAATGGGAACTGTAGTCCAAAGCATTTCCAACATATAACCAGATGCTTTGGACTACAATTCCCCTTAGCCAGTCTGTTGCAAGAGAGGCAGTCCCCATCAGCCCTCACCCCAAGGCTGGCTAATGGGAACTGTAGTCCAAAGCATCTCCTATGCTCTACATAGAACCATTATTGTATTGTATTGTATTGTATTTACTGTATTAAATTTTCTGGTTGCAGTTCCTTCCCACCTAAAATTCAAAGTCTCTTTTTCTTTTTTTTTCTCTTTTTTTGTTTGCATCTTCTCCACCATGTTACAATCTTGCCAGGCAGCCCATGGTTTTATTTTGTTGTGCAAATAAATTTGGGGCACTGCTTTCATTTAGTATCCATCTACGAGAATAGATTATGCAGAAAAAGCTATATGCTTTCAGAGCATAACCTCAGATCTTACTTTCAAGTCATTCTTTTTCCTTCCTAAGTATGAAACAGTTTGATCTCTGGTTTTACCTTTAAAAAAGTAGCTACCCCTTTGCCGATACAGAGAGAGTCATTTTACAATCTATGCTTGTTATTAGTGGCCTCAAGGTAGGTAACGGAAGCAAATTATCGGGGCAAACACTGAAGGGATTTCTTGAGCGGATCCTGCTACTTTGGAACTCTAAAAGCAGCAGCTAACATCTGCTAAAGTGTTTATGCGCTGAAGGGGAACCACAGCTTCCAGAAAAGAGGCATGCAGTGAGTAGGCAAAGATGGAGGTGTAAAATAGGCTACCTTGGGGAAGGTGTCTTCTAATTGATTTCCCTTCTTGTGAAAAATTAGTGCAGGGCAGGCTAATATTTTGGAGGGAAGCCGGTTTAAAAGTTGCTGACTTCTCTTGTTTTATGGTGAAGCTGCTGCTCAATTGGTTATGCCCTGCTAAAGCCTGGGTGTCTTTCCTTGCAGCTTTTTGCCTTGTGACATGCAGAGGTCTGTGCAATGAAGAGAGGCCAGCCACAAAAAACATCCCTTGGGAATCCACAGATGTCTCCGTCCCGTGCTCGGAGTCCAAAGTCTCCTGCAAGCGCCCGTAGCAGGTCATCGTCTCCGCTGAACAGAGAAGGGATCCACCAGCCCACTGGGCGAAGCTATCAAGGAGAGGTAGATCAAGAAAGCGATACAGGTATTGCAATAATCCGTGAGGGATATAATCAAATGTTGCAGCTTTCCTTCAGGGACTTTGCTTAAGAGATCTAAATAATATTAAGATTGATATTTATATGTATTTGTAAGGGTGTATGTATATAGTATATGTATGTACATAGCATGCTTATATGTGAGTGATGCATGTGTTACGCTTTTGAGAGGCAGAAAACAAATTCATTTTTAACGTGCCATTGTGCCCACAGTAAAAAATGACAATAAAGGTTATCTTATCTGGATGTGGCTTTTTAAGATATTTTTTTTGTAGAATATACACTACAGGTAGTCCTTGACTTACAACCATTCATTTAGTGACCGTTCAAAGTTGCAACAGCACTGAAAAAGGTGACACGACTGTTTTTCACACTTTTCACCGTTGCAGCATCCCCAAGGTCACGTAATCAAAATTCAGACTTATGAGGGTCGCAGCGTACCGGGGGAGTCACGCAATCCCCTTTTGTGACGGGGAAGTCAGATTCACTTAACAGCCACGTTTCTAACTTAACAACTGCAGTGATTCACTTAACAACTGTGGCAAGAGAGGTTGTAAAAGGGGGACAAACTCAGTTAACAACTGTCTTGCTTAGCCACAGAAAGGTTGGGCTCAGCTGTGTCGTAAGTCGAAGTCTATCTGTATTTCTATTTTGGTTTACCACTTACCACCGTTTGCACGGTGCATTGAACTGGCTACTAACTGGCTCCAGCAAAGGCATTTTATTATTCTTTTGCTAATTGACATGTTATTATATCGTCTCGGGGGGGGGGGGTCCTGCTTTATGTGGATCTGAGTTCAAATCCTGCTCATGTCCCTGGCAAGGTTTGAAAGCCAGTGTTGTGGGTACCCAAAGCCCAGTGTGTAAAAACAAGAAATTCTGCCCTCTTGTGGACACCATTCAACATAACCCCTGATCAAGAATTCTAATTACGTGTTATGATTCCTACAACTCGCTGTTGTTTTTTCCCCTAGGGCGGTGGTTCTCAACCTTTTTAATGCCGCGACCCCCAACCGGTTGTAAGTCGAGGACTACTCAATTGGTGCAGCACCGTTTGCAGAATGGGACTTTTGGCGGGCTCAGCAGGGCAGAGACAACCTGGACAATTCCTATTGGCTTTTGAAAGCTAATAGAATTAGACTCTATTCAAGAATCTTAGCTTTACTTTTCTTAGCTTTTCATGAACCTCAAAGGCCAGAGATCGGATTCACACGAGCCTTCCTGTCTAATGACTGATTCACGACCGCGGATGGAGCTCCTCGACTTTTTTAAAAAATATTTTTTTGTTGTGTGTTACACCCGCCCATTTCGGGGGTCTGGTTCCCCCCCCCCTTTGTCCTCTCCTATCTGCGCATGCCTATTTTGATTCTCACGAAGTCCATCTGCCCCCTGAATTCAATGCAATCGCATCAGGCCATTTGTCTGTTGCAACAAATAAAAGATTATTTTGCACAAGTGTGTAATATTCTTTTAATCAGTTTAAACTTTTATTTAATTCAGGGGTCTTCCAACTTGGCCCTTTTATGACTGGCGGGCTTCAGCTCCCAGAATTCCTCAGCCAAGGAATTCTGGGAGTTGAAGTCCAGAAGTCATAAAAGGGCCAAGTTGGAAGACCCCTGAATTAATTTTTTTACTTTAAACGGGTGCTGTTTTTCAGTGCTGTTGTAATTTCAAACAGTCACTAAGCGAATTGTTGTAAGTCAAGGACTACCCATACTTTCCCATTTTTTCCTTTTTTTGGTCAAGTTTTTGATACCCCCTCCCACCAGCTGGATGGGGGTTGGGGGTCACCACAACATGAGGAACTGTATTAAACGGTTGCAGCATTAGGAAGGTTGAGAATCACTGGTTTAAAGGCAATTTATTAGTCTATTACAGCAAAGAGATTTCCCTGAATTAAAAGAGGGAATCCAGGACACAGAATCGGGTTTCATTTTATACGCCTTATAGTAGAAAAAGTACAAAACAAGACTTCATTGGATGAAAGAAATCACCCTGCTCAGTTACGCCAGAGACATGGACAGTAACATCCCATAATATTAAGCATAACCATTGAAATGTGCATTGCATGAAAAGGAGAATGTTGACACGGGAAAAAGTGTCAAGAGTCAAATGAGGCTGTTACAAAGGTACAATTTCAACCACAGAGTTTCAGTTTGGCATTTAACACAATCATTCCCCAGCATCTAGTAGACAAACTGGGCCTTTTAAGGTTAAACGCTCTTTGTTTAACTGGATTCTTGATTTTCTTACCAAAGGCTGCAATATGTGCAAATTGGAACAAATACCCCTAATACGATTTTCTTAAGCACAGGTTCTCCTCAAGGCTGCGTCCGAAGTCCGCTGTTGTTCACCCAGTTGACTCACGACTGTTGTGCTAGGTTTACCACATTGTGAGGTTCGCAGATGATAAAACAGTAGCGTTCCTTATTCAGGATGACAATGAGGGAGCTTATTATAAGGAGGTTGAGGGGTTGGTGAACTGGTGTAAGGAAAACAGCCTAGTTTTAAATAGCGGAAAGGAGGGGGAAGAGATAAGTGGGCATGGTTCAGCATCTCTATAAAATTGTGAAGCTGCCCGGTCATTTGTGAGAACGAAGTGATAATTTTTGTAAAATTATAAACCCCTAGGTACGAGAGTTCATTGAACCACTTTTCACAAAAACAAATTAATTAAATTAATTCAGGAAGGGTACGTACATTAGAAATTCAGAATTGCGACCAAAAAAGGTCTGTCTAGCCATGTGACTTGGTTTCAATCACTAATGCAGTGGTGGCCATTTTTATCTCTCTGACTTTCCTTGGCTGTTCGGGGCTACAAGAAGTTGCCAGGGTTTGGGGGGTTTTTTTGTCCACGGCCACATGGCCAAACAAGTGCTGAGCCAGCTCCGGTTTTTGCTTTTGCTAGCTGAAGATGCTTGAGCTGGCTAGCAGCCGTTATTTTTTTAAAAAGGTAACTGCAATGGTTCCAAGCTAAATTGGCATTTATAAGGTTTCTCTGCTTGTGTGGATTCTTTGATGTCTATAAAGGTGTCCCCCCTGACTGAAGCTCTTTCCACACACCAGACATGTATGCAGTTTCTCTCCTGAGTGGATTCTTTGATGTGTATGAAGGTTTCCCCTCAGATTGAAGCTCTTTCCACACTCCAGGCATTTATGCGGTTTCTCTCCTGAATGGATTCTTTGATGTACATAAAGGGTGCTGCTCTGCCTGAAACTCTTTCCACACTCCAGGCATTTATAAGGTTTTTCTCCTGTGTGGATCCTTTGATGTACATAAAGGTGTCCCCTCACACTGAAGTGCTTTCCACACTCCAGACATTTATGTGGTTTCTCTCCTGAGTGGATCCTTTGATGTGCATAAAGGCTTCCCCTCACATTGAAGTGTTTTCCACACTCCAGGCATTTATGTGGTTTTTCTCCTGAGTGGATTCTTTGATGTATATAAAGGTAGCTCCTGTGTCTGAAGCTCTTTCCACATTCCAGGCATTTATGCGGTTTCTCTCCTGAGTGGATCCTTTGATGTTTATAAAGGCTTCCACTCACACTGAAGCTCTTTCCACACTCCAGGCATTTATGTGGTTTTTTTCTTGAGTGGATCTTTTGATGTGTACAAAGGTTGCTCCTGTGATTGGAACTCTTTCCACACTCCAGGCATTTATTCTGTTTGTCTCCTAAGTGGATCCTTTGATGTGTATAAAGGCTTCCCCTCTGACTGAAGCTCTTTCCACACTCCAGGCATTTATTTGGTTTGTCTCTTAAGTGGATCCTTTGATGCTTATAAAGGCTTCCGATCTGACTGAAGCTCTTTCCACACTCCAGGCATTTATGCGGTTTCTCTCCTGAGTGGATCCTTTGATGTGTATAAAGGTGGATTCTCTGACTGAAGCTCTTTCCACATTCCAGGCATTTATGCGGTTTCTCTCCTGAGTGGATCCTTTGATGTGTACAAAGGTGGCTACTCTGATTGAAGCTCTTTCCACACTCCAGGCATTTAAAAGGTTTCTCTCCAGTGTGGATCCTTTGATGTACATAAAGGCTTCCCCTCACACTAAAGTGCTTTCCACACTCCAGACATTTATGCGGTTTTTCTCCTATGTGGACCCTTTGATGTTTATAAAGGTTTCTCCTCCCATTGAAGCTCTTTCCACACTCCAGACATTTATGTGCTTTTTCTCCTGAGTGGATCCTTTGATGTCTATAAAGGTGTCCCCTTTGACTGAAGCTCTTTTCACACTCCAGGCATTTATACTCTTTTTCTCTATTGTGAACCCTTTGATGATTAGAAAGGCTTTTCTTCTGACTGAAGCTCTTTCCACACTCCAGGCATTTAAAAGGTTTCTCTCCTGTGTAGATTCTTAGATGGTTTACAAGACCTGTATTTGTTTTGAAAGATTTTCCACATTCTGCGCATTCATATTTCTTTCTTCCCTCCTGGATTCTCTGGGGATTCCCGGGTCTTCCGCCTCTTCTGAAGGACCCTCCGCCCTCCTGGCCCGTCTCGGGGTCTCCGCCCGTTTCCTGCTCCCCGCTTCTCCCTCCGGGCGGCCTCCTTTCCCGGAGTCCCTCTCGGCTCATCCCTGCCGGGCCTTCCCGTCGTCTCCTCCCGGGGCTGCTCCGCGGGGCCTCCTCTCCTCTCGGGCGGCGCCTCCTTCCTTCCTTCCTTCCTTCCTCCGCCGGGCTCGCCCGTCCTCCTGCAGGGGCGAAGGGGGGGAGGAGAGGCGGGTCACGGCTTCGTCCCTTCCCCGGAGGGGAGTTCCATCCCCGCCTACCCTCCCGGGGAGGAAGGCCCAAGCCTCGGCCTCTCCCTGGGACTTTCCGGGCAGGCCTCCCTCCCAGCTCCCGTCCCGCCAGACCAGGCCTCGGCCTCCCCCTCCCTCCCTGCCTCCCTCCGCCAGACAGCGACTCCCAGCATCCCTTGCGCCCTACCTGGCTCCGAGCCCGCCCGTGGATGAATCAATTAGACGCCTACCTTCCATTCGTTTCCGGAAGTGGAGGCGGGACTTCACTGCAAGGTCTCTTCCTGTTACCGGTAGCTCTTCTTTCCTTTGAATGGACCGCCCCGAGGAGTCCTCCTGCCAATCGCTGCCCTCCCCAAAGCGACCAATCGGCGTCCTGCTTCCGTCCAACCATGAGCCACATGGCGCCTGCGCAGTAGCGAAGCTTCGCTTCGGCAAGGGGGTGGGGCGAGGGGCTCCCCTTGAAGTCTTCTCCCCCCTCGCCCCCCCCCGCATCCAGGTAGCGGAGCTGAGGGGCCCCCTCCTTCCTCCCCACACTGGGGGTCTCTCGCTAGGCAGGGCGGGGGGATCTTGGGGGGCGCTTCCTGCCTTCTTCCCCTTGGGGGGCTCCGGCCAGGCTCCACCCGCGGGCCCCAGGCGGGGGGGGGGGTCGGAGCCGGTGAGGGGAACGGCGGGGGGGGAGGTGAGAGCAGCCTTCCCATATCTGGGGGGCGCCCCGAAGAGGAGGGGGCCCCCCTCTTCCCTGAAGCCCCCCCTGAAGGCGGGAGGAGCAGCGAAGGAGGGAAATTCCCCGCCCCCATGCAGGCAGAGGGTGGGGGCGCTGCTGGGGCTGCCACTTCCCCCCTCCCTCCCCATCCGGGGTCTTTCTTTGGCAGGGCGGGAGGTGGGGGCTCCGGCCAGGCTCCCCCCGCGGCCCCCAGGCAGCCCCTCCCGCCTCTCAGGGCCGATCCCTGCCCCCCCCGCCCCCCTGCCCCCCCGGAGCCCCTCCTCGCACGGGGGGGAGGGGGCGAGGGGGTCCCAGGCCGGGCTGGATTTGGAGGATTTCTGTTCCCGTCTTTTCCGTTTGGAAAGGTTTCTCCCCCCCCCCGTTCTGCCCAGCCAGAGAGGGAGGGGGGAGGGGGAGAGGAGGCGGGGCCAGAAACGCCCCCAGGACCATTGAGGGTCTCCAGCCTTGGGGGGCTTTGAGGCTTCTGGACTTCAACTCCCAGAATTCCTCAGCCAAGGTTGGGGACCTCTGACCTCGGGTGCTTCGGACTGGGCTAGGACGCCCTGTGACCTCTGAGGCTCCTCCCCTTCCAGGCAGCCTGCCCACCCCCGGACAGCAGCAATGGGAGGGGGCGGGAGGGCGTGGGAGGAGAGGCTGCCTTGGCCAGGAAAGAAAGGCCGGGATGCAACTCTTAATATCCTGGTTAGGCTACTTTTCAACTTCTGCAAAACAAGGGGTTCTCAAGGCCATTTTTTTGGAATGGGAGAACCTGTCTTTTCATCCCTAAACACTTGAATCACTTGCAAGTTCGAAGGAAGTTTCCCATGTGGGAAAGACTATAATGTTAAAGTGGGAAAGAAATAGAATAAAGAAGAATAAAGTAAAAAAATAATGAAAAATCACTAAAAGCAAAAATCGTGTGTCTGCATAATCTCTGAAAGAAAGCTGTGTTAGCCAAAAGCTGTATTAACAGTAGGTGAATGACCTAATGCATATTTAGAAACATTGTATAAAAGTGAAAAACTGCCTTCATTGTTATTCCCATGAGAAATGGAGCTAACGTGTGAGAAACTATCTGAATGTTACACAAAGTAGATTCCATATACAATGTAAGATTCCATCTATGCTTCCTTTGTTCCTGAGAAAAAGAAACCTATAAAGCTTTAGTTTAGACCAGTGTTTCTCAACCTTGACAATTTTAAGGCATGTGGACTTCAACTCCCAGAATTCCACAGCCAGCATTGCTTTAATGCCTTAAAACTTTTTTCTAGCCAGCTTGCACGTTGTGCTAACGCAGTGTTTCTCAACCTTGACAATTTAAAGGCATGTGGACTGCAACTCCCAGAATTCCACAGGCAGCATTGCTGGCTGTGGAATTCTGGGAGTTGAAGTCCACATGCCTTAAAATTGTCAAGGTTGAGAAACGCTGGTTTAGACCCTCTCCTTGTTCAGAAATTTGTTGATTGTTAAATCACTTCTGAACCTTTTGCGCAAAAATAAAGATCTCTCTTTCACCCTTGGAGTTTCGTAAAAGTCCTTATATTTTTAAAGCTTTATTTTTCCACAAGATTTAAACCCATAAATTTGGCCCCTTGTGGAATGTTATCTAGACTCCATGTTTTCTGCTGTTCAAGTCTCACATGTAATCAAGGTCTTTTATTGTTTGATCTTTGGCTTACTGAAGTGTCACATATACTAAATATATCATTTCTTCTGTATCCTATAGAAATACTTGATCCCCCTTAATAAATGCTCTTTGTCTGAGTTATTTGGAGATTCGTGCTTTCGAGTGGGCAAATGTCAAAGGTCAAAATTTCTCTCAAGTTCAGGGATCAAATTCTTCATCAGCTCCAAGCCAAATTTGCAATGTCTGATCTTGGAGGCTACAAATACCACGCCATCACCACCCAGTTGTTCAGAAAGAAATGGAGATTATTCTTATATCAACCTATTTTTTATGGGCAAGGCCACCCCCAGTTTGTACCACTCCTCATGGTGTTCCTTTCTCCCCAGGGAGCATGACTCCGAGAACCTCTGCCTAAGAGAGAATTGCATGCTTAATTTCAGCTTTGAATGTTCCTCTTTCTGTTGGCCTCTTAGCCAGCTTGTCCCTGGCTGGGACACACCGTTGACTGGCAAGATGCAGCTGAGCTGGGATAGGATGGCAACGGAGGCCTGCCATCTCCTGGGGAATCCTGAGGACTTTGTGACCTCATCATCCCTGCAGGCCAAACTGTCAGTTATGTCAGTTATCAGAGGGACGGGGGCTCCTAAGTGGGGAGCTGGTGTTCAGAAGGGCCCCTGGACTTTGGCCAGCCTTCCCTCTTCTTCTAACCGACTATCAGGGAGGTAGATGGGGGTGAGGGTGAGAGTTTGGGGTGGGATTAGGGTGAGGATGAAGGTGAGATTAGGGGGAAAGACAGGATGAGGGTGAGAGGGAGGGTGAGAGTCAGATCAGTGGGACGGTTAAGGAGGGAGGACCGGAGAGGAATGGGACGGGGGGGCAGGGGAGAGTAAAGAAGGGGAGGACAAGGTGGAGAGAGGGAGAAGGGAAGGATGGGGAGGGTGAGCGAGATGAAGAGTGGGAAGGTTTATAGGGAGAGGAAAGGGAAGGGGAGAGAGGGACGGACTGAGAGGTGGACAGGGTGGGGAGGAAAAAGGGAAGGAGGGGCAGAGGAGGGGAGGGGTTGGATTGGAATAAGGGAGGGAGGGGAGATAAAAGGTTAAGAGAATGAAGACAGTGAAGGTGATGGGAGGGGTTAAAGGAGCAAGGGAGGGGCAGAAAGACCATTAGGAAGTTGGGAAGAGGGAGAGGAAGGGATTGGAAGGGGATGAGGGGAAAGGGCAAAGGGGAAGGGAGAAGGAGGGGAAGAGGGAGAGGGACAGCAATGGGAAGGACAGGGAGGGTGTGGGAGAAATGCAGGGGAAGGGGAGAGGAACAGGGAAGGGGAAGTTAGAACATTAAACCATCATAATAAAAGAAATAGTAAAATGGTTCTGTTCCCAAATCTGCATGTCCTTGAAGGTTTGGGCTGATAATACAGTATAATTCACATGGTGAATGACAATAAAGAGTAAATATCCACATCTGTCCCTTATTGGATCCTAATTAACTCTGCCATAAATAGGCTCTTAGCACCAGAGAAACCATTGTCATCTAGGGCTGCCCCGAGTTTGCTGGCTACATTTGGCTGCATATTAGCCACGATTAATCCATTTCTGTTTCTCTCCTATGTGGGCTATTAGGTGCTTGTTGAGCTGTCTGTAAGGTCTTGCCTCAGCTAGTCCCTCAAGAAAGCAGAACTCTTGAATCCAGAGTCATTTCAAAAGGAACTTTTATTGAGAGATAGTGATTGCAGAGAAAGCAGGCAGGATCTAAAATTCCTGTGCGAAAACAATAGCTTAAAACCCACGTTTCAAAATCCCTCCCAACTGCCCAGTGTACAGAGAGCCAATGCAGAGGTGCAAAGGTGTTATGAGAACTCCGAACTGAGGAGGTGGTAAGTTGTTCTCAGAGGCTGGGATTCTCCAGTTGGCTCCAGGCTCATCCCTCCCCCCTCCCATCCCCAGGAAGATAATCAAAAGAAAAGAGGAACAGAGTAAAATGGATGCACCACAGAAAAGCCCCCAGGGTCTCCCCTCCTGCCAGAAGGGCAGCGTCCCTATAGGGATCTATGGGGAGCTGACACTGCCATTTGTTCTGAAGGATTCAGCACTCTCTGGGTGCATTTATAAACTTTCTTCTGAGTGTAAATTTATAATTTTTATTGAGACCTATTTTGAGCGAACCTTTTCCACGCACCATGAATTTTTAAGGGTTATCTCCCAGGTGAATTCAGATCAGGAAGAATTTCTCATTGTATTCAGACACAGTAAAGATTTGTGCTTGTTGTGAAGAATTCCCCACACTGAAAGTATTTATATGGTTTTTCCTCACGAGTGGATTCTTTGATGCTTAGAAAGACTTCCCCTCCCACTGAAGCTCTTTCCACACTCCAGGTATTTTATATGTTTTTTTCTCCAATGTGAATTTTTTTAAACAAAATTTTATTAAGTTTATATAAATAAGGAAAAATAGGAACAATACAGGTATGGTAAAGGGAGGGGTGGGAGGAAAGGGGAAGGGAATAAAGGATTTAGGGTAAAATAAGGATACGTACAATCACATATTTCAACAAACAAGCTACCGTCTGGATCATAATGAGTAAATATCATATTCAACCATTTTTACCGAACCTTAGACTATAACATATTAAAAACAGTTAATAAACAAATACGTTGATCTATTAAGTAAACACTACTAATAAAATCTCAAAAACTCCTACCAATCAAAAGTAACAAATGAAAATCAGTAAAAAAAGAAAAATAATATCATCAAAGTATTAGTTAGAACTCGATTAAAAATCAGTCATCTATTCTAAAATATTGAATCCTTCAAGTTCTGACGTGTCTCTAACCATTGATAAAAATTTTCTCAAGTTCTAAAATAAATTGAATCATCTTTTTCTTTCATTTCTAATGTTAGTCTATCCATTTCTGCACACTCTAAAATTTTAGTAATTATAGTCTGGTCAGATGGTAAATTCTCATTTTTCCAAAATTGGGCAAACCCTATCCTTGCAGCTGTTAAAACATGCAATATCAAATAGTCATTCTCTTTACCATAATTAGGTCTTAATATTCCTAACAAAAACAATTCCGGTTTAAATTCTATCTGTAGTTTCATCATCTTTTCCAACCATGGATCTTAGACCAATATTTCTTAGCGATAGGGCATGTCCACCAGGCTGTTGTTTACATTTCCAGCAAATA